TTTCAACACCATGCCACCGAATACTACAATCTCTCGCATGCATGATGCTATGTACGAATATATACTCGTCTCTTGGCAAAATCTTGTTAACTTTAAAATATAATAGTAAAAACATCTATATTTAAAAATAATTTCAAAATAATAGAATGATGTCTTTTTATCTTTTTTATGCTTTAAGTCAATTAAATAGTTAGTAGCCGTGATTAACAAAAAGTTCAACGGAAAAGGAACACAATTATGTAGGCAAAAATTTTTTTTTTCCAAAAAGACGCGATCCTTGGAAAATAACCATAAAGCGGTTTTTATATAAGAAAAACACAACTTTTGAAAAAACGGTTATATCGAAAAGTCGTAACTCTTCATCAAACAGTTATATCAGAAAGACGCAAGTTTTAATTAAACGGTTATATCAGAAAGATGCAACTATTGACAAAACGGTTATATTGAAAAGACGCAACTTTTAAAAATAACCACCAAACGGTTTCAAATAACAAGTCACACCCAAAAAATATTCATTTTATTGGGTTTGCTATTATATATATATAGCATAAAACTCTCTGAGATCTATGAAATCTGACCACAGTCGGTGATCACCACGGACTTGGAAGGAATTCCGCTTTCAGCTTCGACATCCTTTTCAATGCTCCTCATCAGATCCAGTCCTTCCACAACTTTTCCGAACACGACGTGCTCTCCGTTCAAAAAATGGAGCTTCTTCATGAGGATCATGAACTGAGATTTGTTGCTGTCCCAACGATAAGTGTTCATGGCGAGCATACCTTCATCGTGATTGTGAACGAATTTCTCGTTCTCGAATGGACCACCGTAAATCGACTCGCCTCCTCTTCCGTCCCCGTGAGTGATGTCTCCTCCAAACCACGCATACTTAGGGACCAAATCGTGGAAGCATGATCCCTTGAAGTGGAGTGGCTTACCCCTCTTCCCCGTGCCTTTCTCATCGGTACAGAAGGCCCGGAAGTTCTCAGCCGTCTTTGGGGTCGTGTCGGCGAAGAGCTCCATCTCGATCCGACCTGCCGGTCAAGTCAAAGAAAACAACAAGGTTGGGGTTAGGGTTAGGGTTAGCCATTTCCGGACTAGTTTAGGGTCGGTGCGAGGAGGGATTCGTAGGGAAAGGATCTAGTTCCCAAGCTTTGAATTTTTTGATAAAAAAAAACAAAGAGGGGGGGGGTACCCTTATAGAAATCTCTATTGGC